TCTTCCTCGGTTGCTTTCCACCTTATCTTTGGGGACAGGCCTCTTGCTGCAGCAGGAGCTCACCAATTTTGCTAGATTTACTCATCAGTGAGTCCCAGGGTTCCCCTTGCAGTCTCTCCCCAGTGCTGGGATTACAAGCATTTGCTACTGGGTCCAGCAATTTTTGTGTGAGTTCTGGAGAATCGAACCCAAGTGTCTTAATTACTTTTCAATGACTATAATATAGCACCATGATAACTTAGAAAAAGATGGGTTATAAAACTTATAAACAATTAAAAATACACAGTAATTGTGCATGTATTGAGGTGAACACTTTTCTAAGGCATATTAATTAACACACAAGAAAAACCAAGTTGCAGAGCAACCTGTAATTTCCAGCACTTTCATGAAAAACACACGGTAACTCTGCATATGGATACAAATGCATAGAAAAATGCCATGGAAAACAAATAACAGCATTTTAATAGATATTTCCTTAGAATAAAGTGTTATTTATGTGCTCAGTGGGGAATACAATCATTTTTAACAATATTTATGCCTTGTACTTAAAATGTTTATATTACCCATCAGTAAGGTTTATACTGATGTGTTACCTTAATAACTTAAAAATAAAAATTAAGCAATGAAAAAAAAACATAAAAAGATGACAAGGCAACTTATAAAAAGATGGCTTTAATTTGTGGCTTAGGGTTTCAGAGAGTCAGAGCCACAATGGCAGAGCAAAGGCATGGTAGGAACAGCTGAGAGCCTTTATCTTAATTCCAAGTAGGAGGCAGAGAGAGACACTAAAGAATGGCATGAGTCTTTTAAAACCTCAAAGACCTCCCCTAGGGATACACCACCTCCAACAAGGCCACACCTCCTCCAACAAGGCCACACCTCCTAATCCTTCCCAAACAGTTCAATCAAATGGGGACCAGAGAGTGAAACATATGAGTTTATGGGGCCATTTCATTCAAACCACCACAGCAGGTTCTCACGCTTGCACACCAAGTGCCTTACCCACTAAGACATCTTCCCAAGCCACATTCCAATCATTCTTCCATGTCAAAACCGGTGTCAGAAAAATGGTGACAACAGAGGCCATAGGACAGGGAGAGGTACCATGCTTCCATTCTGACCTTTACAAATATTAAAGATGGCCCACACAAAAGCCTTTCTCTAATCGAAGGGGCGGCTCACCTTGGGAAAGCACTGGATTAAAACTGAAGCTAGCAAGAGCAGGAGAGGCACTTGCTGTGGATGCTGATGACCCAAGTCTGATCCCTAGAAGTGGAAGGACACAGTGGCCCTCTGACAGTCACACTCTCAGGAATGAATAAAGTACAGGATCTTTTTAAAGGTTCGTTAATTTTTATTTTGGGTCTGTGAGTGATTTGCCTGTATGTGTGTAAGCACACCATATGTGTGCCTGGTGCTGGTGGAGGCCAGGAGGGGGCATCAGATCCCCTGAAACTGGAGCTTCGGGCACTTGAAAGGCATTGTGTGGGTGATAGGAATTGAACTCAGGACTTCTGCAAGAGCAACAGAGTGCTTTTAACTGCTGAGCCATCTCTCCAGCCCCCTTAAAATAAAGTTAAACTTTTTTTAAAAAAACTGAGTTGGGTTCAAAGAAGTCAAGGGAACTTAATTAGGACTCTCCCTGGCTTGCTGAGCGCTCACAGTCAGGAGCATCTTTGAAAAATCTTTTCTTTCTCCCTGTCTGATCCCTCCCTGGTCACACAACCCGATTTTCCAGACTCCAGCCCATGGCTCACCTGCAGCACCCTGGCTCAGAGCTGAGCTGCTGTGCAGTCCTGGCCTCCCTCTGCACCCAGGCCAGCCCGCTCAGCCTCCCTGATTACTGGATTGCTTTCTTTGGCCAACTGGCATCATCAGGGGGAAAAGACACACGATGCTTTGACTGCACTAATTCTTCATATCAGCCTCCTCCCCCGGCCCTCCCCCCTGGTAAACCTTGATGTTGGCTTTGTTCTCCTTTTCTCAAGCATGACAAACAAGTGGTTTTTCTTTTTCCCTTTAATGGTTCTTTCAACAAAAAGGTAGTTTAGGGCTTTCTCTGGGGCTGAGAGGTGTTTCTGCTTAATGAGGTTTTTATTCTACTGTATTGGTTTCCCTGAAAAGAAATTATGAGCAGCAAACAGCTGATAATAGAACAAGACTGGAAGAAACAATAACCAAAAGAGGCAAACATTAATGCAGCAGCAGATGCATTCGCTGGAGCTGGGGGATTAAACGCCACTTCCCTTCTCCCCTGGCCGCCATTGTGCTAGCGAAAAAGTGAGTGTGGGCAGTTCTGTGTGTGTGAGAGATATGGCTGTAGATACAGACTCAGCTAAACTACCATCTGTGGAGGAAGAAGGGTGGAGAGCCCAGTCTAGACAAAGATGAGTGAAGCTCAGAGTGCCGGGGTTTACAAGGGCTGGTCGGTTACCATGGAAACTAATTGGAGCTAATAAGTAAAGGGACATTTTAACTGTGGGAACAGAATAGGAGGGGCCATTCTTCAATATCACCGTTACCTATTAATCTTTCATTTTAGGAGTGTCCTGCCTCAGTTTCTAGAATGAAGCGATTCATTCTGCACAGAGATTCCTCCTGTTGCTGATGACTTTAAAATGCTGCATCTCACCTTTTGAAATGCGTTGTATTTTGAGTTTAGATCTTTCAAGACAGAATCAATTTCACTTTTTTTTTCCTTAAAAAAATAAACTGTTTGCAGATGGCAAGGAGAAAGCAAGGGAAGGAATGGAAAATTCTTAACTTCTAAAACTGACACTCCACCGAGCGGGGAGACAGGCTTCAGGGATAAAGGGAGCGGGGACCTGAGCTTGCAGCACCAGCTTCAGGTTTGGGTTTGCGTGGATTTTCCCTAACAAAGGCATTTTAGAACAAGGAAAAATGTGCCTTTGTGGACTCCTTTTACAATCCACCTGAAAGGTAGGATAGCCAGCCACTGCGAAGAACGCAGAACAAGCAAGGGCCAGCATCTATGGCACCCTTGTACTTCTTATTTTAAAACAAGTATTAAACAGGATGAATAGTTGACACGATCAGTAAAAAAGAAGTAATGACTGAGATGTAATGAAAAGGTCTACAGTGGAGAATAGAATGAAATGTTTGCATTAGAAAGCATTTCAAACAATAATGTAAGTCAGAGACAGGGCCACTTGGGAAACATCTCATAGAAGGGGCCTTACAAGCTCAGGGTGGATGAAACATATTGATTTAACACCTTTACAGTTTCTTAAGTTTTACTTTTGTAACTCAATTTACAGTTTAAGAGATTGCACACTGGCTTAATAATGTCTCCGGGGTCTTCCACATATACGCAGTTGAGGCAGTCCAGATTTCCAGACTGAGGTCTGGCTGGATTAACTATCACCCCCTCCTCCAAAAACAAGAGGGAATAAAATTGCCCTACAGTAATTGGCACTATTAAAATTTTATGGTGCCCCAGGGAAGTGTTAGGCCTGTCCTACCAATGGTATTGTTGACAATGTCTGTGTTGGTTATGCGTCTGGATATGGGTGTGTGGGAGTCAGTAGTTTAGTGAATTTGTGATATACTGTAAAGCACCTTATAATCACTTCTGGGAAGATAATAAGCAAATGAAATCAGGACTCCCACCTCCCCCGCCCCCTCCCCTCCCTTTCTCCTGGCAACCCAGCAGGGGAAGACATGACTCTGTGACAATACCACCCCCCTTATCTGGGCTTCAGAAACGTGTATCAGAAGTCACTGTGAGCAGCTTAATATAATATCCCACAAACACCCAAAACAAAAAGGCCAGTCTGATCCATGTCACTTGCAATTGAAATAATTCTTTTTTTGATGTTGGTATGCCAAGTATTAGCTGCTTATTTGGAATCTGGATTTTAAGGGTTTGGGGAAGTTTAAACTCTTTTCTCACTCCCATAAGTGATCATCTTCAAAACCTCAAAAAGTGTAATGTTTAAATGTTAGCTCCTAACAGGCACCGTTAGGAAGTGGATGGTATTTAAAATTCTTCTTTACTCTTTAAGATTATCCAAATTCCTTAGATGTCTGATGGAATTTTTGAAAGGATAAGATTTTTTTAAGTATTGAATTTATTTCTCAATATCTTCTTATATGTAAGAAATGTAGCTCTTTTCTGACTCAGGTTATCAATGTAATTATTTTACAAAAACAGTTCAGATAACCTTTTTTAAAAAAGCAGCTAAGAAGAATGTATTAAGACAATTCCAAATTGAAAACATTTCAAAGCAAAATTGTTAATGAGATACTTGAGCTACGTGGATGTTTATAAGCGCAATTAACTAGAAACCAATAAAAATAATCGTTGGCAGAGTGTAGCCTTCTAGAACCAAGAGCTGCAATCCAGCGATGTCTGTGAATGTGGGAAGTGATTAAAAGCCACCTTTATCTAGGAAAGTGTGTGCTGTTTTACAGAAGTAGAAACGAAATGACTTTCATTGACCGTCTCTGGTTTAGCATGGGAGACAAGAGTCCAGTGAGAAAGGAGAAGTTTCGGCTCAAAGCTGAGACACCCCCCTCCCGCATCCCCACCGCCCCCCCCCCCAGCCCTTCCAAGAATGTTGGAGGCAGCCGCCCCCGAATCAAAAGGAGGTAGGAGTTTAGATTTCAAAATGTAGATGTCACATTTCAGTGCAAACTACTCCCACATTTAACACTTTATCAGCACGACAAGACGAATCTTTTATCTCCCGTGGGGTGGTGGTGGGGGAGCGGCTTGCTGAGGAGATTGCCCTCAATAGATGGGCTGTAAAAGATTTTTAGTGTTCCTGGGCATCCCACCGAGAGTCCCCCTCCACCCCACCCCCATCCCCCCAGGAGCACAGAGACTTGTGAAAAGTAACGCACAACTGGCCACCAGAATAATTCATTCGCTCTACCTTCCCCGCCGCACCTCCCACTCCTCCTTTTTGTAGCAGTCCTTTCTCTCCGAAAATCTCAGGTTACTTTGACTGGGGAGTTCTCAGACCTCCCGTCCCTGCCCAGCCCTCAGCCTCCAATCCGTAAGAGACGCTCAGCCCCAGCAATTGGATTGGGCAGCCTGTCTTGACACAGCACTGTGCTGAGTGCTTGAGGACGTGTTTCAACAGATGGTTGGGGTTAGTGTGTGTCATCACATTCGAGTGGGGATTAAGAGAAGGAAGGCTGCCCTGCTGGAGCTGTGTGGTCTTCTCCAAGTGAGAGTTGCAGGCAAATCCAAGTACTTGGCTTTGGGGAAGAAGAGAAGGAATTCATTTGCAGCGGTCACAAGAAAAGCAGTATTTCCAGGTAAAGTAAAAGACACCAAATCAAATCTCAATATCTCTCTCTCTCTCTCTCTCTCTCTCTCTCTCTCTCTCTCTCTCTCT